AGATGTGGGGCGAGCCTGCGGCGGCAGAGGCCAGCATAACGTTGCACCAGCCTGAGGCGCGCCATGTGTTCTCTTGGGGAAGTTGTCCCTGGATCACGGGACCCTGGCAGTGGCGGGCTGCACAGGCTCCCGGGAGGGGGAGGTGTGGATAGTGACCTGTGCTCGCACACAGGCTCCTTGGTGGCTGCAGCATCAGCCTTAGTGTCTCATGCCCGTCTCTGGGGTCTGCGCTGATAGCCGTGGCTCACGCCCATCTCTGGACCTCGTTTAGGTGGTGCTCTGAATCCCCTGTCCTCGCGCACCCTGAAACAGTGGTCTCCTGACTCTTAGGCAGGTCCAGACCTTTTCCCGGACTCCCTCCCGGCTTGCTGTGGCGCACTAGCCCCCTTCAGTCTGTGTTCACGCAGCCAATCCCCGTCCTCTCCCTGGGATACAACCTCTGAAGCCGGAGCCTTAGCTCCCAGCCCCCACCTGTCCTGGGGATGAGCAGACAAGCCTCTCGGGCTGGTGAGTGCTAGTCAGCACCGATCCTCTGTGCAGGAATCTCTCTGCTTTGCCCTCTGCACCCCTGTTGCTGCGTTCTCCTCTGTGGCCCCAAAGCTTCCCCACCCCCACCCACTCCCCATCTCTGCCAGTGAAGGGGCTTCCTAGTGTGTGGAAACTTTTCCTCCTTCACAGCTCCCTCCCCGAGGTGCAGGTCCCATTCGTATTCTTTTGTCTCTGTTTTCCTTTTTGCCCTACCCAGGTACGTGGGGAATTTCTTGCCTTTTGGGAAGTGTGAGGTTTTCTGCCAGCGTTCAGTAGGTACTCAGTAGGTGTTCCACATATAGATGTATTATTGATGTATTTGTGGGGAGGAAGGTGATCTCCACATCTTACTCCTCCACAATCTTGAAGGTCCCTCCTTGGGAGAAGTAAGTTTGACCAGGTAGGCTGAGGCCCTGTAGGGGAGGCTATGCTTAGGAATCCAGTGAAGGATTGGAGTAGTAGGGGTTACAGGAACATTTCCCATGTCTTTGCCCACACACCATGGCCGCTTTTCCACTGCCCTTCTCTAATCCCTCTAGTCATTTTTCTCTGTCTAGCGCAGCCAACATTACATACCCTCTCTTTCCTATACCTCCTTCTCCTCTCTCTTTCTCTCCTTCCCAAGCTGTCAGAATCAGCTCAGAAGTCATCATCTCTGGGAGCATTCTGAAACCCTACAGTTAGAATTAATCATTACTTCCTCTGTTTCCTCAGTGATTGTCTTACCCCTTCATTATAGCACTTAGTGCATTCTGTCTTGTATTACGGATATTTCCGTCTCTCTCTCTTCATCGGATTGTAGGGGGCTTCTTATCACAATAGCTCCGGTAGAGTGGCTTGAATGCAGATCATACTTAATATATGTTTGTTGATGAATGAATGAATGAATAAGGGATCCTTGTTTACAGAAGTTTTTATATTATGTGTAAAGAGATAGATGTAGTAGAGACCAAAGTGGTGGAAATTCTAAAGGACTTTAATGATCAGATGAAGAAATTGTTTGGAGAAGTATAAAATATGTGCTCTGTCTCAGTTAAAGAGTATTGACCACAATTTGGCTCTCCTAACCCTTTGCCTGAGTATAAACCACAGCCCTTCTTCCACACCCATACCCTGCGCCAAACCACAGCCTCATAGTTCCAGCTTTACTAACCTGCCTGTGAATGTGCTGCCTGTTACAAGACGGAGCAGATACAATGAGACTAGGACAAGAAAGAACACCTGAAAACAAGGGAAATGGATTTTCCCCTGATTTATTTAAAACTTTTCTTCTCAAAAGTTCACTTTCGTGGTATAAGCAGTTTTTGTTTGTTTGTTTGTTTTTTTAAAGAAGATGTTGGGGATAGGAGTTTAATTTATTTATTTTTGCTGTGTTGGGTCTTCGTTTCTGTGCAAGGACTTTCTCTAGTTGTGGCAAGCGGGGGCAACTCTTAATCGCGGTGCTCAGGCCTCTTACTGTCGGGGCCTCTCTTGTTGCGGAGCACAGGCTCCAGATGTGCAGGCTCAGTAGTTGTGGCTCACGGGCCTAGTTGCTCCGCAGCATGTGGGATCCTCCCAGACCAGGGCTCGAACCTGTGTCCCCTGCATTAGTAGGCAGATTCTCAGCCACTGCACCACCAGGGAAGCCCCCTGGTATAAGCAGTTTTAAGTGGCTTTTCAAACATTAGCAGAGTTCAAACTCATACATGAATCAAAATTGGGCTTAAAATGTTTTATGCACAGCTGTGTTGGTTCCTGCACTTTCCACGCTTGAAGGATTTTAGATCACTAGTCAGCGTGTTGCATTTGCACATTTTCTTTATGCCTTTCAAATCAGAGTCTATTCATATACATGCACATCTTTTTGTAGATAATGATTTATGTATTTAGAAGCTCACTTCCTCATCAGTAAAATGAGGGGGTTGGAGTAGAAGATTTCCAAGACTGCTTTGTCAACATTTTAAAATGAGTCAATTATCGTGTGACTGTAGGAATTAATTTTTGTCCAAGGGCCAGTGCCTACAGAATCTTTAATGGTTTTTTCTTTAGAATGTTTGCCACTAGGTGGCAGTAAGAAATATTATTCTTAGCGATGAGAAGTGCTTATCAATTTTTAAGTTTACTTTAAAAGAGAGATTTGTAGGTCTATAGTTTAAGGTGTCTGTTTTGAAGTTATGCAACCATAGCCAGGCCTCAATATGTTGTTTCTAGGACTTATGCTTATTTCATCCAGGGATAAAACTCTTGTGTCCCTTCATAGCAATTTGTATTAGGGAATTATGAGAAAAAACACATAAGTTAAAGCACGTAATTGCATTTTACAAAACATTTTTTATGATAAACAGTAAGATATGGTAATTGTAGAAACTTTGGAAATGCAGGTAGTATAAAGAAGAAATTTTAAATCACTCCCAGAAATAATATATGTTAACTGTCATGTTTCTTCCTAGTATTTTTTTGCATATAAAATTAATATCACATTGAATATACAGTTTTTACACCTTGATTTTCAAATTAATGTTACATTATCTTTTCCTATGTTATTAAATATCTTTTTTACAATGTGATTCATGCTGTTGGATAAACCAAGATGGATTCAACCAATCAAATGTTGTTGGGTGCTTTGCTTCTAGCTTTTCACTGTTATGAGTAATACTGTCATGAACCTAAATCTTTCCTTAGGATATATTTTTGGAAATCAAATTACTGGATAAAAGGTTATGAATTTTAATGCTTTGGTTACATATCATCAAGTGACTTCCCAGGAAGGCTTTACAAATATGTGCTCCCAGGACTTCCCTGGTTGCGCAGTGGTTAAGAATCTGCCTACCAATGAAGGAGACACGGGTTTGAGCCCTGGTCTGGGAAGATCCCACATGCTGTGGAGCAACTAAGCCTGTGTGCCACAACTACTGAAGCCCGTGCACCTAGAGCCTGTGCACCGCAACAAGATAAGCCACCTCAATGAGAAGCCAGCCCACCACAACAGAAGAGTAGCCCCCACTCACCGCAGCTAGAGAAAACCCATGCACAGCAACAAAGACCCAACACAGCCAAAAATAAATAAGTAAATAAATAAATAAATAATAAATTTATTTATTTAAAAAAAAATTGTGTATCCAACAGCAATGGAGTGCCCCTTACCACATCTTTGCCAACACTGAGTATTAAGGTACAGGGTTGTTTTTCTTTTTCTTTTTTTCTTTTTATTATTATTATTTTTTTTGCGGTATGTGGGCCTCTCACTGTTGTGGCCTCTCCCGTTGCGGGGCACAGGCTCCAGACGCGCAGGCACAGCGGCCATGGCTCACGGGACCAGCCGCTCCACGGCATGTGGGATCTTCCCGGACCGGGGCACGAACCCGTGTCCCCTGCATCCGCAGGCGGACTCTCAACCACTTTGCCACCAGGGAAGCCCCTGGATTGTTTTTATATTGATAAAATCATTTCTGTATATACAATTTTGCATCTTCCTTTCTTCATTTAACATTATAACCATTTAAAATGCTGTCATAAATTCTTCATAAGCATTTTAATGGCTTACAGTGAGCCATGGTATTGAGGGTATTATAAATTAATCATTCCCTGCTGTTAGACGTTTTTTACTATGAGAAATAACACTGTAGTGAACATCTTTGAGCATAATCCCCATCATGATATTTGGATTTATTTCCTTAAATGTATGTTAAAAGCTTTGAATGCTTTTAAAACCTTTAATATACATTCTCAAGTTGTTTTCTATAAAGTAGGCCTCTACCAACCTGTAATGTGTCTTCATGTTACAAACATCTAGGCAGACATAGCCCTGGCAATCCAAGCATGGGGGGTGGGTATGGTTTGTTTTATACTTGCTTACACTCTATAGGTGCCTTCGTGCCGTTCACAATAGCAGTGATGTGTGGATCCCATTTGTATTTTTCCAGTAGCTCACACAGAGTACCTGTTTCAGAGAACCCAGATTAGCATTAGGTATTCATGTCTTTAAAACTCTTTAATTCATTTAATGGAAAATGTTATGTTGATATTTAAATTTACAGTAAATTCAAGTACATTTTAATAAATAACATACGGTGAGAATCTAATTTTTTTCAAATAGTTTTCCTAGCACCATTTATTGCATAATCTTTCCTTTGTGATTTGTGGTGCATTCCTTGTTATGTATTAAATTATCATCTCTGCTCTGATAAAAATATTTTACTGAGTTTGAAAACAGTAAAGATCACATTTTTAATATGGTTAAAGCACTGTTCATTAGTTATACATTTTTTTCACGGTTAGTATTTGTTTAAATTTACTTAATGTAATAATTTTATCACTAACTTATTTCTTCTTTATACCTGAATCAAAGTGACCTGAGTTATTTGGACAAATTAAGATTATTCGTTTCATAGAGACCACGCCATTTGCAAATGACCCAGATTCTAGGCATTATATATAATGGGGACTTACATTCATTTTTAAGACCTTTTTCTCTTTCTGTTTATGTTTTTTAGGGGTTGTTATCTCATATACTTTCCACATTCAGATTTAATATAAAAGAAGTTGATCTTTTTACTCAAGTTCTTGGGTATGCACCCACAGATTACTATCCTGGTTTACTTAAAAATGTGAGTATTTTTAATTTATTAGTATTGAAATTTTCATTGCTTAATGTACCATCTGAAAAAAAGGTAAATGGAAATATTTCAGTCCTCCAGGAGAGATGTTTAACTTTTCTATGTTTATCTCTTCTTACCTTGCATGGACTTATGACCATGTAAGGAAAAAATGTGAGATGGGAGATTATGAGAAAGAAGAAGGAAACCAGGAGAGGTTATTCTAAATCAACCAACCTCTCTGTCCCTTAACACATACATCTCATTTATTCTCTCAAAGATTTTTGGGAGAAAAGATTTCCTTAACCAATATAAACACAGCCTTTTACTATTGGATGAATTTCGTATTTAAAAATAACCTGATAGGAGTTTTATGTTAAAGCAAAATATTCAATAATAACAATCTTGTAAATAGTATTATATATTTACATCTTAGTATTAAAGCTGTGATTTTGTCTACCTTAAATTTTAACCAAATTCAAGAAATTTTAACTTATGGTCTTAACATAGCTCTTCTAAAAAATGTTAGGAGATTTTTAATGTTTATTAACTATTCCTGTCTTTTGGAAGCTTTATACATGAATAACATTTTTAAAAAAATAAAGAACTAAGTTAAGAAAGAAAAAAAGTAAGCTAACTCTAACATGGTTTTATTTTTAACAGGCTTGGTTTTAATTTGGGGGAAATTAATGACTTGTCTATTATTCATTTGCTTACATCAGAATATGGAGTAACAGACATTAAACATAAAATCCAAGTTATTAGTAAATGTGACTCGGCACTGCTTTGACAAAGTAAGACAAGGAAAGGATTGGTGGGGAAAGAGAGTAGGGAATCTCAACGGAAATATCACTCACATCAAGAAAAATAGAACTGATGTAATCCTGTTTGCAGCGTGAGTTAACCTGAAACTGATTTTGTTTTACAGATGGTTTTATCATTAGTGTCTGAACTCAGAGAGAATCATCTTAATGGATTTAACACTCAAAGGCGGTAGGTGTTAAACTAAACATCCCTATTCTTAAGTTTCAAAATGTATCAGTTTGGTTATAAGAGAAGAATTTTATAATTCTCAGGAAATGCATGTTCATAGTTATGGTTGTATTCTATGTGGAGAGATTATTTTCACGGGATACATGGCAAATTGGTAAGTTTTACAAATTTTCTTTTTTTAATTACTATTCTCTCAGCTCTCAGGTCAGTAAGTAGATCATGCAATGACTCTTGGGCACCCATTGAGTGAAAAGCCCCACATATGCAGTGTGGAACACAAAAGGAAGAAGTGTGCAGCTCAGTGTGAGTGTGTATCGTTCAGACACACACATACACGATCAGAATATTTACAAGACAATAGATATTTGATGTACACAAATAACCTATTTTAAGAAACATAATATTCCAAAATCTAGACTAAACAAATCAAACAGATTCAGACAAATTTAAAGGCAATTAATCATACTACAAAATGTTTCTTCACTATATATAGGAATTCAAAGTTGTTTTTATTGGTGAGCATTTCATTTTTAAAAATTCATTAAGAGAGTCTGGCGGGGGGGCTTCCCTGGTGGCGCAGTGGTTGAGAGTCCGCCTGCCGATGCAGGGGACATGGGTTCGTGTCCTGGTCTGGGAAGATCCCACGTGCCCTGGAGCGGCTGGGCCCGTGAGCCATGGCCACTGAGCCTGCGCAATCGGAGCCTGTGCTCCGCAACGGGAGAGGTCACAGCAGTGAGAGGCCCGTGTAACACAAAAACAAACAAAACAAAAAACAAAAAAAAAAGAGAGTCTGGGGACCAAAGAAATTTGTGACATTTTTTTTATAAAGCTATTGGAAATTAAAGCTCTATCAGAAATGGTCTTTGCCCTCAGCCTTTAGGAATCCTTTGCATTTAACCCCTTAAAATAAACTACAAAACTCTTAGATGAAAACACTGGAGAAAATCTTCATGACATTAGATTTGGGAGGGATTTTTGGAATATGACACCAAAAGCACAAGAAACAAAGCAAAAGTAGATAAATTGGATTTCATTAATATTAAGCCAATACCTAGTAAGTGAGTGAAAATATTTGGGAATGATATATCTGATAAGGGACTAATATCCAGACTATAAAAAGAACTCCTAAACCTCAACAACAAGAAAAAACTCAGTTCAAAAATGGGTAAGAGGGCTTCCCTGGTGGCGCAGTGGTTGAGAGTCCGCCTGCCGATGCAGGGGATGAGGGTTCGTGCCCCGGTCCGGGAAGATCCCACTGCCGCGGAGCGGCTGGGCCCGTGAGCCATGGCCACTGAGCCTGCGCATCCGGAGCCTGTGCTCCACAATGGGAGAGGCCACAACAGTGAGAGGCCCACG